ACTCTCTATTACTAAAAGCATTCTTACTAGGATTGAAGACAAAGCTAAGCTGTTGCCATTTAAAAGTGCTTAGAAATGTTCCAAGCAACCAGTACTATTCTCAGACCTGGGCAAGAGGGGCTTCTGCTCTGGCACCCACAGTTTAGAGGATCCCTCATATTACAAATACATAAAAATAAATTTATTAAAGAAGACATGGCCGGGGCGCCTGGGTGGCTCAGTTGGTTGAGCGACTGCCTTCGGCTCAGGTCATGATCCTGGAGTCCCGGGATCGAGTCCCGCATCGGGCTCCCTGCTCAGCAGGGAGTCTGCTTCTCCCTCTGACCCTCTTCCCTCTCGTGCTCTCTCTCTCATTCTCTCTCTCTCAAAAAATAAATAAAATCTTAAAAAAAATAAAAATAAAAAAAATAAAGAAGACATGGCCATCTGTGTCACCCAGGATCCCCAGTGTGGCACAACACATAACCCTAACCCTCTGCTCTCATAATTAACATCCTTCAAATGCAAGGGGAATACTTCCTATTGCTTGCCCTGTGTGCTTGAAACAAAAGGCAAATGCATCCGAATGCCTTGAAGGTTTGTGAGTTATGCTGCTGCTGATATCAGACACTGCTTTAGTGTGCAGGGAGAATTTGAGCAGCAGAAGTGCTTAGTAAGAGAAAAGATAAATCAACCTGTCAAGTCCTTCCTCTCTCAATAGCAATAGATTCTTCCATAACACTGATTGTTTCCCAGTAGTAACAAGCATTGGCTTTCTGGCTTCTCTTTGTGTTCCAATTCATGGTTCCTTGACATGTGGTAAGTGGACCTCCATTTGTACTCTTGCCCCAGGCCAGGCAAATCTTAGAAGCTGGCCTGTAGCTAGCACAGTAAGATATGAAAAAGGAATGAGGTATAACTATTGGAAAAGGAAACAAAAACCATCATTATTTGTAGCTGATTCATTTGTCGCTCCAGAGAACACCCAAGGGAATCAGTTGAAACACTCAGATGTAACTCAGAAAAAAGAGTTCAACAAAGTGACTGAATAGCAATCAATAGTTTTCCTATAAGCCAGCAACAACCAGTTAGGAGATATAAGGAAGAAAAAAAATCCATTTGTGATGACAACAAAAAATAGCATAGAATCCCTAGAAATAACTTTTTTAAAAGTTTTTATTTATTTATTTGACAGAGAGAGAGCACAAGCAGGGGGAGCAGCAGGGAGAGGGAGAAGCAGGCTCCCGCTGAGCAGAGAGCCCCGCGTGGGGCTCAATCCCAGGACCCTGGGATCATGACCAAGCCAAAAAGAAGACACCCAACCGACTGAGCCACCTAGGCACCCCTAGAAATAACATTTTTTAAGAGGCATATGCTCTGCACAAAGAAAAGAAGGATATTTGTATATCTCTCAGCGACTAGGATTTGAATAAATGGAAATTGATGCCATATTTCTAGATGAGAAAGCTAAATTTTGTAAGATGACCGCTTTAAAAAATTAATCATATGTTTAATTTAATCCAGTCAAGATTCAAAGTTATTTACCATGATAAAGTGATTCTAAGTTCACCCAAAAGAATAAATAAGGAGTATAGCAATGAAATTTTCAAAGAAAGAATAATAATGATGGGATACTTGGCTTATGAGCTATTAAAATGTATATATAAGTTATAATATTTAAAACATTATAGTATTGTCACAAGAATCAACAAACAAATCAGTGGAATAGAAACCTTGAGACTGACCTAGTAAAAAGATAAGAACCCAATATACAATAAAGGAAGCATCACAAACCAACAAGGACAGAATTCATCAACATATGAAATGTAAAAAAAAAAAATGAAAGCATAAAACAGCTTTAAAAAGTGCAAGCAAATGTTAAATTTTGAGATTGGGAAGAATTTTCTAAGCAAAAAAGCAATGGAAAAGTCATAAAAGTATTGCTACACTTGACTCCATTAAATGTATTGGCAAAAACAAAGTGGGAAAGATACTTTTTTATTTTTTTTAAGATTTTGTTTATTTCTTTATTTGACAGAGAGAGAAGGAACACAAGCAGGGGGAGTGGAAGAATGCGGGGCTCGATCCCAGGACCCTGGGATCATGAGCTGAGCTGAAGGCAGACACTTAAAGACTAAGCCACCCAGGCACCTCTGGGAAAGGTATTTAAAACATAATTGATGTCAGTATGATATAAAGAGCTCTTATGAATCGATCAAAAACACCAACACTCAAAACAAAAATGGAAAGGGACATAAACAGCAAGTATACACATGACCAACAAATATATGAAAAATGTTCTAACACACCAATAATCCACAAAATACAAATTTTTATGAATGAAATTGGTGAAGATGAAAAACACTGAAATCCTCAATGCAGAAAGATTGTTTTTGAAGAAAGTTTAATGATACAGAAAAATGCTAACCAGTGAAAAAAAGGCAGGGTATAAAACTGACTCTATAGTAGGATCAAATTTTGAAAAATGAATTTATATATATTTTGTACATAGAGAAATATTTAAGAAAAAGGTCAATTAGAATATTGACCACTCGGGGTGCCTGGGTGGGCTCAGTTGGTTAAGCATCTGCCTTCAGCTCAGGTCATAATCTCAGGGTCCTGGGATAAAGCCCTGTATCTGCATCTGCATCGGGCTCCCTACTCAGTAGGAGTCTGCTTCTCCCTCTCCCTCTGCCTCCTCCCCCGCCCCCCCGCTCATGCTCTGTCTCTGTGTCTCTCTCAAATAAAGAAATAAAATCTTTTTTTTTAAAAGAAAACATTGAAAAGAAAAAAAGGCAGGAAAAAAAAAGAAGGCAAGGAAGTTCTCAAAGATTATTAAAAAAAAAAAAAGAATACTGACCAATCAGAATAACAATGTTCATCTCAGCATGTTGGGATCATGAGTTATTTTTTCCTTATATTTATTATTAGTATTATTATTCAGTATTTTGTACATTTTATAATTAGTATTACTATTCCCATTATCATGTAATTTGAAAGCAAAATGGTATATAATTCCTATAGTGCCTAATTCAATTGTATGTGCATTGTAGAACTCAGTAATTTACAGGTCTAATCATAATCACAAAAGACTGAAATTCTTCCACAATAAGATGTAACTGATTGCCAAACCTTAAAGCATTAACCACTCCCAGGGATAATATGTGCATTTAAATTCATCAGTTTCCCCCATCCCCAAGGAAAATTTGTTAGGATCTGGTGCACAGAAGATATTGTTCTAGGTACTATGGGGGATATACAGAAGTTGTTCCTACCTTTGAAATGCTTATAAGCTACACTAACTGTGGGGTGGATTAGGAAGACAAAAGAAGCAAAAAGGGAACTACATCATTATACGTTAGACACTGTGCTAGGCAATTTACTTCTATTGAATTCTTACAACAAACTTTTGAGGCGGAATTTTCATAGACATTTTATAAATGTGGAAGTGGAGGCTCGGAGAAGTTAAGTGACAAGTTCCCAGAGTTAGTGGCAGAGCCAGCATTTAAAGCCTGGACCTCTGGACCTGACTCCACACTATTACCTCAATGAACACTGCCTCATCAAAAAGGTGTGTGTGTGTGTGTGTGTGTGTGTGTAGTTAAAGTGCAAAGCAGAATCAGATCAGTGCCATACTTATGATGCAGAGTATGAAGTATATGGAGAGGCAATAGGGCAATGGTTAAGAACCTGGGCTTTTTTTTTTTTTTTAAGATTTCATTTCTTTATCTGACAGAGAGAGAGCCCAAGCAGGGGGAGCGGCAGAGGGAGAGGGAGAAGCAGGCCTTCCACTGAGCAGGGGTCCCGAGGCAGGACCGTTGGATCACTACCCGAGCCGAAGGCACCCGCCCAAAGACTGAGTCACCCAGGCGCCCAAGAACCTGGGCTCTTAACCCAGGTTAAGACTGCCTAGGTTTGGGGGCGCCTGGGTGGCTCAGTCGTTAAGCATCTGCCTTCGGCTCAGGTCATGATCCCAGGGTCCTGGGATGGAGCCCCGCATCAGGCTCCCTGCTCAGCGGGAAGCCTGCTTCTCCCTCTCCCACTCCCCTGCTTGTGTTCCCTCTCTCGTTGTGTCTCTCTCTGTCAAATAAATAAAATCTTAAAAAAAAAAGACTGCCTAGGTTTGAATTCTGGCTCTCCCCCACTTACCAGCATGTACTCTTGGGCAAGTTACTTATTTCCCTGTGCCTCAAGGGTCCATCCATAAATTGGGAGCTCATACCTAGCTCACAGTGTTGCTGTAAAGATAATGAGTTAATACAAGTAAAGGGTGGTTGTTTAGCACTTAGTAAACTTAGTAAACAGATATTGGTTATTATTTCAGGAAATCAGAGGAGGGAGAAGCCATATCCAGCTGGGACTGGATCAGGAAAGGCTTTGCGGAAATGACATTGAAGAAAAGGTTGAATTTGTTAAGGAATAGTGATGGAGTAGGGAAAGGGAATGTAGGGGAGGTGGGAAAGCTCAGATTGTATGGGGCCCTGGGTAGATAGGAGAGGAGGGGAGGCATGGGAGCTATTGGAATTTAAACTTCCAAAGAGAGGCAGAGGTCAAAATGCCAAATCTAAAACTCTGGAGTTAACAACTGGGCAATAGGAGCCATTAAAGATTTTCCAGGCAGAGAAAAATAAACCTTTTTCAGGAGCAATGGAGCCTGACAACTTTGCAGTTTTATCCTTGAGTGTTAACCCACTGCAGAAACAAAGAAACTGAGGACCGCTCTTTCGACTGAGGGAAAGGGAAAGGGGAGAGAAGGAGGGAGGTTGCAAAAAGGGAGTGAATAACTAGAGGTCTATAGAGATGAAAAGGTGCGCCTGGCGGGAAGTGGTGGGCAGGAGGTCTCCCCTGATTCCTCCTTCCAGAGGCAGCCCAGGGACTGACCTCGAAGCATAACCTACTTTCCCCCCATTTTAAGATGTGAAGTTTCCACCTCAGTTTAGGTCTTTAACTACCAGACTGTGCTTTTGGCCAGGAGTAAGCGTAGGGCATTAGGACCCAGAGATTGTTGTAGTGAGAGAGGTTGAATCTCGATCTCTCAATTTTTCTCTCGAGCTCCCTCCTCTCCCTCCCTTTGTCATTCTAGCTGCCTGCTGCCTCCGCAGCGTCCCTCTAGCTCTCTCTGTGCTAACTGCCTGCGCCTTAGACAGACGGGGTGCGCCCAGCGGAGGGATTAGTTGGGACCTGCCTCGGTGACCCCATGGCATCCCCCAGAACCATAACTGTCGTGGCCCTCTCAGTGGCCCTGGGACTCTTCTTTGTTTTCATGGGAACTATCAAGTTGACCCCCAGGCTCAGCAAGGATGCCTACACTGAGATGGTAAGTGAAGCAAACGGGTGACGAGGGACGCACCCCCAAGGGATTGTGAGTACCTCTCCCTTTCTTTCCTTTCCCGGTCCGTGGTCCGGTCCTCTTAACCCCTACCCCCACCCCGGACCATACCTTCTCCCCAACAACTTTGCGGCTCCGAAGGAGCAGCTGGTCAAGAGCGATTTCATTTGTGGGCTATGCTGGGAGCAACTGTTTTGGAGCCACTGGATGCCAGTTGGGGGAGGGGTCGCCCAGCGAGTACACCCCACCTCCAAGTAAACCAGAAGGCTGAGACCTGCGTAACACCTGTCATTGGCAGGAATCCTTCCCTCCTTCTAGCACACCCGAAGTCCGGGCAACCAGTCTGCAAGTCTGATTCCTTCCCTTGGAGCTAAGAGTTTAGCAATCTGGAGAGTTTATTTATCTTAGGGAAGAACAAAGGGGAAGGAGGGAAAGATCTGGGGGAGAACGGGCTACTGAAACAAGCGATTCCTAGGGGCGGGAAAGGTATTCCTCATCCCTGGCGGAGAGCTGATCCCCTAGCCGCCTGGGCGTGTGTGTCTGTATCCTTGAGACAAAGCAGTCTTGGCCCAAATAAAGGTCACTGAGCGCCTCCTTCTGCCCCTTCTCTCTAGGGAGACCTGGGTGTTTTGTTTTGTTTTGTTTTGTTTTGTTTTGTTTTGTTTTGTTTTGTTTGTGGGCTAATCTGCAAAGTCTGCCTCTTCTTTCCTGCAAAATGGTCCGTAATTCCCACCTTGCCTCCTGTGGATGCCCGGGGTCAGGTCCTCTGCAGGTTTTCCCCTCTGCAGAGTTGGAATCACGGAAGGTGACTGGCCAAAACATTTCCTCTGCAACCTGGGGGCTGGGCTGCTCTCCCCAGTTGGGCGTGAAGAGGACTTGTTCCTATGCTGTAGAGTGTGAGGAGATGGCAGGGGATGTTTCCAGCACTTTCGGTCTCTCGTCTCTCCCCCTGTCACTTTGCCTCTTCATTTCCCCGCCCCAACTGAAGAGAACCTGCTTCTCACTGCCTTTGCCTGACTGCCAGTAATGGGAGGGAACCCATTACTGGGCTCTCAAGGTCAAGAAGGAAAGGAGCTTAGGGGAGGAACAGGAAGAGGGAGAGAAAAGAGGCAAGAGGGTCTCCCCGTTAGGGCTGAGGCAAGGAGGACTAGCCCCACATGTTGGCAGGAATAAATAGCGCTCTCCTGGAGCCTACTGCGGAGCCTTCCAGAGCCCCTCAACGTGAGCTGCAAATAGATGGAGACTGGCAGATTGTAGATGCTCAGAAAATGTTTGCAGGCAGCCCTGGCTTCTGTCTCAGGGTTTGAGCTGGTGCTTTCCATGTCTCTCTCACCACAGGATCACCCTGGGGTGGGGGAGGGTGGCCGGGACTCGAGGGCCTAGGTCTAGCCCCAGTGGCAAATACTAATGTATTTCTCCTTCTCCCTTCCCCTCCTCCCAGCATGTTTGACCAGATGGAATTGAAATCAGGTCAAAATGAGTATCCAAGGCAGCCTGCACTGGGGAGGGGAGGGGAGGTGGGGTAGCAGAAGCCACCAAAGGCAGACGGACAGTGTGGAGGTGAAATGCCACTATATTTTTGTCTTGGTGGTAGTAGTTTAGTGTTAGATTACAAGTAAATGAATATGCTATTGCTTTTCTTTACTTTTCATATATACATGTATTAATATGTTTGTGTGTGCACCCTAGGTATTTTTGACTTTTCCTTTTCCTTAGGACATAGTATCCTTCTTCAGTATACTCCCTGGCCCCCAGGCCCTCCTCAGCTGTTTTAGAGGCCCCCCACCCCACGCTGCACCCTAAGTACAATGTTAGGCTCTGCAGGCAATCCAACTAAGATGGAGTCACCGGGAATCTTCCTACCAGCTTGGCAGGAGCTCACAAGGAGGACCAGCCACAAATGGGTTTACAGTAGGTTTCTTCCTAGGGAGTGGAGCTGTCTATTGCAGTCTACTGAAAAGCAGAAGAAACCAATATCAAGATTTCATATCACAGAGGAACATATTTAAATAGGTATAAGCTAATACAGCTGTATAGAACCATTGTGCGTGCATGCGCGCGCGCGCGCGCGTGTGTGTGTGTGTGTGTACACACAATTCTGTGCTTATGTGTTCAGGAGCATGGAAGAACTATGTCTAGCTGGGAGGTAGACTTCACAGTAGTATGAAGCTTGAGGAGGATTTTCAGATTGCCTTTTCCAGGGTCCCCTCCTGCATTGAACATTGGCCCCAGGCTGGGGATGGCTGTTCAGCACAGGATCTACGGCACCAGTCCTGGGCTGGCCAAGCTTTATTCTTAAATCCATAGGAAATGGGAAAAATTCAGTTCTAGTACAAAGAAGGGGCTCAATTTATATTTGTTGAATGGATGAGTGAATGAATGAGTCATTGGAGCATTGTCTTGGCTGGTCACCACCCTTCAGAGTTCTCTGGTTGGATCTTGATTCTGTAGTTCAGGAGCCATTTCTTGCTCTTAGAAGGGAGTATGGCCCCGTAGGACCCCAACTCTAGATCAGATAGGCTGATTATCTGGGATTTTCTGTTTTCCATTTAGGAGTAATTCCTCTGCATTAACAGTCATGCATTCCCTGCAGTAGCTTTTCTTACAAGATCTCAAAGTGTTGTTGTTTAAAGATTATTTGTTCTTTAAAACATATCAGTGAGGTAAATTCATTTTATTAGTTATTCTTATTTTACTGATGGATCAAACTGATCCAGTATCATAGGGTAAGCTGTTGTGGGAGCAGAGATTAGAAACCAAGCCTGTGACTGAATATTCTCAGTAGAGGAGTCGTTAATGATTACAACTGCCTTTTTGGATGTCAGAACTTGCAACTGATTCTTGAAAATATCTGGCATATTTTTGTTTCCTTTTCATAACAGCTCAACTACACCAATCCATATTTTTACTTTGAAACCAATTTCAAATTTAGATTTTTGGTTTTTTTCTTTTCGGCCACTGTTTTTTTTTTTCCTTGTTCTAAAACCATTAGCATTATGCTTAGGTGTTGTCCCCTCCATAAAGAATCATCGCTAAAAACCAAACAGACAAATGACTATTAGCTTCTTTCTTGTATACTGCGGAAGCCAGGAATGGTTAATGGAAAGAACACAGGCTTTCAGTCGTATAGGTTTGTGCTTGAGTCCTGACATTCCTACTGCCTCAGTTTCCTCATCTGTGAAATGAGGATAATAATTCTTCCCTTAGAAGGTTGTTGTAAATATTGAGATTATATATGGAAGTATCTGGTACAGTGTTTACATATAGCAAATGTTCAAGAAATGCTCTGGGTGAAGTGATGGTGATAATTGATTCCACATTATGCAGTGGCTTCCTGACTAATTTGAATGGTCAGTTTAAGGGATTGAAATCAGGCATTTAGAAGAGCAAGATGCTATTTTCATGTGCCCTGGTGAACAGACCTTTATGCAATTAGCTAATTTTGAAAACTCCACACTTGCTGCCGGTTAATACACAGTGGATTCCATGCAGAACTTCCAGATGTCACTCTGAATTGCCCATTTGGTGTATGTCACCCCATACCTCCTCCAGATTTAGCAGGTGTCATTATAGAGTACTCTAAAGCCCACATGAATTCAACATGACTGATCACTCCCTTGACTAAATGCCTTCATTAATTCACTTGAAATTGGGAGACAGCACTTACAAATGCTGCTAAGCAGTTTTCTGGGCAGTGATGGGGAACATACAAAAGGTTGACTTGCTCTAAATTTGGTATCCAGCTCTTTGTAGCAGTGGTTCCATTCTGTAATCAAAAGGGGCCACATGTAGAATGGTGAGAAAATACCCCAAAATCCTGTCGCAATGAAGCCAAGGGATTTTGGCCCCAAGGAAAACAGGGCAAGTCTCTGCTTCTTCGCATCCCCTCAGAGGGAAGCTTTGTTGATTTGGTTGATTGGCTTATCTATAGTTAAATGCCGTCCAGTTTGTATAATCCTGGGGAAACGCTCCAGATACATTTGGGCAGTTTATTTAACGTCCTTAGGTAATCTTTTATGCTTCCAATCACCGCCATTAATTGCTTTCCAGCTAGGTGGTAAGATAGTGATTCACTGATGCTTAGACTGCTCTTTGAGAGAGTACTTTCATTCCCTCAGAGAGGAAACTGCCTGTGAGTTGTGAAGTGACTTTGCCTTAGTTCATACAGTCAACCATCCCAAGCTAAACTCCATCAGAGCTGATGCCAGGGCATTGGAGCATTTAAGGTCTCAGTGGCCAACAGCTATGCTTGTTACAGAGCTACCTTTGGGCCTCAAATGCAATCTGGGAAGGATCCAGTTTGGTTGGTAGGACCAGGTTTACCAGCTTCCCCTGTAGGTAGGTACTATATGACAGTGGGAAGTAGAATTGCTTAAAATGTGTTTATCATTCACATGGATATTTGGCAATTAAACACGTGATGGCTTTTTATTGCATTTAAGAAATAATCAAGAACTCACATGTGACTTTTCCCCCTACAAAAATGCAGGGAAATCATACTGGAATCAGTATACTTTGCAGCAGTTATGTAGCCTTTATGGTCTAAGATAGCAATGAGGCTGAGAATTTTAGCCAAAATGTATTTTTGTCAGTGCCCTCTTTGGCTTTCATAGTTTTTTTTTTTCTCTCTATAAATTTTAGTGAAGTGTGACATACATTCTGAAATGTGCATCTAACATGAATGTACAGTTCAAGGAATTTTCAGAATACTCCTGTGTAACCAGCACCCATATCAAGAACACAGAATATCAGCTCCCCAGAAACCCCCCTCATGGCCCCTTCCAGTTACTACCTCCCCAAGAGTTATTATTTTCTGACTTCTAACAATATAGGTTAGTTTTACCTGTTTTTGAACTTTATATAAATGGAATTCGCAGTAGATTAGCCTTTTTTTTTCTTTTACCCAACTGGCATAAGTATACTGAAGTGGACCAAACCACTTGGTCTCTGTTCCCATTTTGTCCTGTTAGCTGACTTGGATCAGTTATTAATTGTAACTGAAGATAAATGTAATTAGACAGTTTTGAGCTCTTCAAATAAATGTCATTAATATGAGATCATGGACCCTGGGGTGTTGTGAAGAGTAAATGACAAAAAGAAAAAAGGTATGACTAAAGAAAGGCTCCATATGCTTTTGACTCATGTCTGAATCATATCTTCTCATACCATAAAAAAGGACCGGTTTGATTCACCACTATTATCATTAAAATAATCACCATGGCTTGCTTGCAAACACATGGACTTCTCGTTATTGTATGGTTCATTAATAATGAAATGTATGTGTGTGTGTGTGTGTGTGTGTGTGCCTGCGGCCCTTGTTTGATGCCATGATGCTATGATTTTTTTTTTTACTAAATCTCCAAAATGTTCATTTAATTTACAAAAACGGGAAACCCAGATAATAAAATGCTTAGTAATTTTCTCCAAGCAACTTAGGGGCAAAACTCAAATTGAAATTTAGCTTATGTTAAGAATCTCAGCCCAAGGATATTGTTGGATGATTGCTTTTGATTAAAGGGATTTGAAACATTTGACTAAACACTCCTCTTCCCTGCTTCCCTGCCCTATAAAGAAACTAAGTTTACAGGGTCTGGGTCATTGCAATGGAAGGGAAACAGACCTAAAAAGTGAATTGTGAGAGCCTTTTGGGAGAGTGACTCAGTCAACTCTCTTTTTTCTTACTATCAGAACAATTAAAGTCTTTAGAGCTCTAGTTACTATAGATTCAAGACATGTGAACCTTCTATTGATAGAACTGAGGTGGCCCAGACCAAACACTGATGCGGCTGGCAATAGTAGGATTCTTTTGATGTCTCCATCCTACTCCACAGGAGAAAGAATAAAGGGCTTCCTATAATGTCAAGACTCCATCCAAGCTTAGTCCCATTTCTAACAAATTAAATATTCCCTGTCTGGAGTCCTGGGGAATAGATGCTATCTGTACCTACTCAGCTTTGAACTAAAGATTTGATGAAATGGCTTATCCATGTGCAGTTTCCTCTGGAGAAAGGAAAGGGAAGAAAAGAGGCCACAGCTGTAGTTTAAGAAGTTAGATAAACAACTGAAAAAGTAATATGAAGTTACACCAAATGTAAAGAAAAACAATCACCCAAGTTCTAGGAACTTGATTTAAAGACTGTGGAATTTGGCCCCAGGCTACAGATTCCACTATAGTATAGTTAAGAATCTATTCTTGAATGATGGGTGGTTAGCCTTAGCCAAAAAAGGAGCGTTTCCAGAAGCCACTCAGCCAGCATCTGGAAGCCTTGGCTCTGAACTGACTGTGGGAAACTTATCTTGCCTCCTGTGTGCATCATGTCAAAAGCTTACATTTAGGGTTTAGGAACTGCCTCTTGGGAAGCTTTGTGCTGTTAATTAGAAATAGTCCTCACTTACAAGTGTTAAGGAAGCCTCTTGTGTCTAGATTTCTTTCCCTAATGTTGCCCTGTTACTGTCACCAGAGTGCAGAAGGGGAGAGAGTGGGCAGGTGGCATCTAGTTTAATAGTGAGAGGAAACAGGTACACTTTTCCCCACCACCAGGTGCCCTAACCCTCATTTGTGCTCTGCTCCATGTGGGTCTGGCTCAGTTCAGCCCAGAGTTTTACTCTGCGGACTAGTCAACGTCTCTACAAATTTCTCTGAAAGTCCCTGATTTAACCTAAAATGGGAAGAGGGAGGAAGAATGACTAACACTCTGTGTTTCCTTTACATGCTCAGGAACAGGATAGGGACTAGGGGGAGGTGAAATTTTAAAGACAGGATCGGACAGGGCCAGGATTGGGAAGAGATAAAGCAGGGTTGTATAAGTGCAGAGCTGGATCTTGCATTTATGTAAAAGCTTTGATATTTTGCTCATTAATGATATTATCTACCTTAATCAAGAAATGTTTCTGGTGCCCTCTTAAATTTTGCATTCAAGGCAAGTAGCCTGGCTCATTTCATTTTAGTCTTAACCCTGCTCAGGAAAATGACACTCAGAGAGGTCAAATAATTTGCCTATGGACACCCAACTAGAAAGTGACAGAGATGGGATTTAAAGCCAAGTCTGTTTGAATCAAAACCCATGTTGTTGTTTTTTTTTCACTAAACCATTGGTCTTTTAACAGTCCTCATAGAGGATTATCTTGTGCCACTCATGATAATTAATCCATGAAATAAGGTGCATTCACTTACCCAAAAGTGAGAGAAATGACTTAACATTTGTTCCAAACCTAGAGTGTGTGAACACTATTCTAAGTGCCAGATGCTTCTAAGAGGTCAAGTTGGCTTTCTGCCTGATTCTTATGATACTTGCCTCGCATCTGGAACTTTTGACTATTCTCTTCTTGAAAACCTTGGCCCCCATTACCCTGTCTCTCTTGGCTTTCCCCCTACTTTTCTGACCACACTCTCTTCTGTCTACTTTTTGGACTATCTTTCTCTTTCCATTTCTTAAATGTCTGTCACACAATTTTTCCCACTGTATATATACATTCTACCTGGGATACTGATGACTATCCATTCTATATCTTTATTCCAGACCTCTCTTACTGAGCTGCCTACCAGACAGCTCCACTTAGATGTCTTAGAGACACTTCAACTAAAAAATCCAAATTGAGTCCCTTACTCCTTCTTACCCCTTGCCCCACCCCCAACCTGTTCTTTCAGATGCATGCCCAAACCTGGAGAATGGTAACACCCTTCTACCCGGGTACCCAAGCCAGAGATGGAGATCTTTCTCTACTTATCCCTTTCCCTCAGGTTCCACTTCCCAGTATAACACTAAATTCTGTTGATTTTGCATTAAAGGTATCCTTGACTCATCCCCCTTCCCTATATCTCTACTGTCATTACTCTAGGTCTCTTACTTGGTCTCCTTGCTTCCAGGCATACCTCTCCCAATCCATCCTCCACACTTTTTCCAGAGGCACCTTCCTCAAAAGCAAATTATGTTGCTCCCCCTGGCTTATAGGATAAAATCCACCTCCACAACACAACATATATAGTTCCCCATGATCTCATAGTGACACATATATAGACATATATAAGAGGACATATATAGTTCTCATGATTCATGATTCATATCTATCTCCCCTGTCTCATGTCTCACTGTCACCCCTCCCTCTCCCAACCTATGCTGAACTGGGGCGGTGTTTGAAACACCCAAATCTGTTTTGTGCTTCAGGGCCTTTGCTTATCCAGTTTCCTCTGCCTGCAATGCCCTTCCCTTATTGATCTTGCAAACACCTGGTCTTCCTTTAATACTCCACTCTAGCTTTTCTCCGTTTCCATCTAGGGAAACTTGACCACTCTGGTGTGGCTCCACTGTATCTACTGCATAATTTTGTTCAGCACCCATAACTTGTCTTCATATAAACTCAAGCTTCAGGAAGGCAGGGCCTTTGAATGATTGACATCTGTATCCAAAGTACCTAGTACAGTGTCTAGCGCAAGGAAGCACTTAATAAATATTGAATGAATTAATGGGTACTTACTGAAAACAAAGCAGTGGGCCAACATAATAAGACACTTGATAAAATCTCATCGATTTACTACAGGCCAATCTGAATACAGTGAAAAATATGATTATCTATTACCCTAAGGTCAATATAATCTTATTACTTTGTAATATATCCAGTGACTCCCTCCTCTATTCTATGATGTCTCCCTTTGGGCTACAATTAGATCTTGTACAGACGTCTATTATGTGTCACTAACCATGTTGCTTTATACTGGTGTTTAGTGTATCTGTTTCCCCCCACTCGATCAAGAGCTTCTTGACCCTGTCTTGTTTACCTTTTTATCTCCATTGCATAATCCATAGTAGGTGTTCAATACATATTTGTTGAATTAAAATTAGTGAACTTGCACCAGGCTAATCAAAGTAGTGTTTTGTAAAGGCCTGGGACTTTATCTCACTGACCATGAGAATGATTTTTATCTTACTATATTTTAAAGATATATAAGGGGCTAACATTTGCACACATTTTTATTTTTCTATTTACTTAGTACTCACTTTTAATTTTTGCAGATTCCACAAATATAAACTCCTGCTAGCTTTTTTCTGAATTATCACAGATTCCAAATTAAGGAAGTCCAAATTAGTGAGGCTTTATCATACTGTGCCTTGCCTTGTTTCGATTTTGTTGGTATTTGTATGCATCTGGGTTTGGACGAGGCAGGCACTAGAAAATGTGGTTGTGGCTAATCTGTACCAGACTTTATGGGCCCAATAAATTTTCTTATAAATGCTTTTAGTGTTGTTTATGATTTATAATCAGAAAATAATTTTTAACTATAAAGCCAAATTCTCTTTGGTGCTGTTACTAAGTCTTATTTATTTATTTATTTTTTAAAGATTTTATTTATTTATTTGAGAGAGAAAGAGAGAGAATGAGAGAGAGAAAGCACATGAGAGGGGGGAGGGTCAGAGGGAGAAGCAGACTCCCTGCTGGGCAGGGAGCCCAATGCGGGACTCGATCCAGGGACTCCAGGATCATGACCTGAGCCGAAGGCAGTTACTTAACCAACTGAGCCACCCAGGCGCCCAAGTCTTATTTATTTTTAAAGATTTTATCTATTTATTTTAGAGAGAGAAAGAGAGCACAAGTGGGGGAGAGGAGCAGAGGGAGAGGGACAAGCAGACTCCATGCTGAACGCAGAGCCCAGCCCCATAGTCATGCATGACCTGAGCTGAAATCAAGTGTCAGACCCTCAACAAACTGAGCCACCCAGGCACCCTGCTGTTACTAAGGTTTAACTCACTGGGACCTGAGAAGATTGCTTGTTTTTTTCTTATCTTAATTACAAGGCTTTTATTTAGGGGCCCCAGTAAAAAAAAAAAAAAAAAAAAAAAAAAGGGACCTGGTTGGGACATAGAAAGGGAATGGTGGGGAAGGAGGCCCTTGCTTGTGTGTCCTTCATTCTAATTTTAAAATCATGGTTAATGTGGCATTCCTTGTGGTATCTCACTCTAGAAACGTGCTTACAAGAGCTATGTCCGAGCCCTCCCTCTGCTGAAGAAAATGGGGATCAATTCCATTCTCCTCCGCAAAAGTATTGGTGCTCTTGAGGTGGCCTGTGGCATTGTCATGACCCTTGTGCCTGGGCGTCCCAAAGATGTGGCCAACTTCTTCCTACTCTTGCTGGTGTTGGCCGTGCTCTTCTTCCATCAACTAGTCGGTGATCCTCTCAAACGCTACGCCCATGCTCTGGTATTTGGAATCCTGCTCACCTGCCGCCTGCTGATTGCCCGCAAGCCTGAAGACCGGTCTTCTGAGAAGAAGCCCTTGCCACCGCCAGGGCAAGCAGGGAATGCCGGGAATGCGGAGGAGCAGCCCTCCTTATATGAGAAGGCCCCTCAGGGCAAAATGAAGTTGTCATAGGAAAGCAGAAGTGCAAAAAGTGAACCTTCCAGGCAGTTGCCTCCATGACACCCAGGAAGATGTCAGTGTGTGTTTTTCATTTGATTTATTTATCTTGAGGGAAAGGGAAAAAATATAATCTGCAAGTTAATGGTCCTATTGGCTTGTGTACACCTATACCCTAAAATGACCTTCCCACATAGACATATGTGCACCACCTTTAATCACTTTGGGGCAACTCTCACATCTTGCTGCATGTACATGTATACGGCTAACTGTTGAAATGTATTTGTGAGATGGACTCCAGCAAGCATGTGACTATTTCCCACACAAGATTATGTGTGGGAAAATGTATTTACTGTCCGTGTGCGTGTGTTTGTGTATGTGTGTGTGTGTGTGTGTGTGTGTGCACGCACACAGGTGCGAGGAGAAGGCTCTGATCTTGAACTAATCCTGCAGAGGTATCCTTCCCTTTATAGACTGATTCTAGTGAGGGCAGAATAAAATAAACCTCCTCTAGAGAGAATCCTACTTACTTCTGGTATAAATCAAGTGATGTATTCCTGTGGGATGAGGGAAATTAAGTTGAAAACTTAAATTTACCACTTTAGAAGAAAGTTCCTTCAATTTGAGACACTGAGTTATACTGATTAGCTTCCACTGTAACAGTTGTTGAAATTTTAAATACTCCATATTGAGTTTAATTAAAATAAGGGATATATGCAGTCAACACATAATCTAATTCTTCAAGTGATAAAATTGGAGTTTTACCTTGCCTTTGCCCTAAACCAACCTACTAAGCTCCTTTGCTCACAGTTTGAAATTGAAGCAGTAAACTTGTTACCAGACATCTTTTTTGGGGGGGTTCTTAAGCCAAAAGCTGCCTCACTTCCTACTATTCTCAGCAGAGAATCCCAACCTGATCGGCAGCTGCTCTACTGTTGCGGTTGAGGGAGCAGGGATTAGTCCTGTTAGAAGTCTGTGAATCTCAAACTCTAGCTGTTCTCTTCAATCATCTGAGACTTGACAGAAGAGCTGTATCCAGGGTTTCCCTGCCAGACAGATTCATTACTCCTATTGACTCTTCACTGAACTTTGCTAGTGTAAGCAGAGATCCAAGTTACTCCTGTGGTTGTCTCCTCTACACCTCTTTATCGTTATGGTGGCTGGAGTTCAGCAGGGGGAAGGACATTTGATATGGGTTGGTTGGATTGAGCAGTATGAAACTTTGCTTTCTTCATTCCATACTGCTATTTCTCCTTGTTAGATGTGCTTTGATGGTTTTAACATTATTGTGCCAGGGATGGGGAGAGGGGTGGGGGCATTGTGTGTGGGGGGAGTACAAATAATTGTATTTTCTTCAGTGTCATTGTTCTTGTTAATTGATACCTCTGTCTTATTTCTCTCATTCTTTCAAAATAAAAATTTTTGAAATTTGGAGGAAACTGTCTGGACAGATAATGAAAATATGGGAAGAAAGGGTCATATGAAGCAATTCTGGCTCTTTAATTTTTGATTCTGGATGAGGGAGAAGAAAGAGAAGGAACACTATAATCACTTAGTATACTAACAAGGTTACCAACTTTTCAATCTCATTTAAGTTTCCCCACACTTCGGTGACGTCAGCACATAAGACAGAAAGCCAGAGAATTAGGATCAATACAATTTTCAGGTTTGGGAAGTTCTGCTTCACTAGGTGATGCCAAGGGAAGGTGGAAGAATGAGTTCAGAGAAAATTGCAGGTGTATGAAACAAAGGACTCTCACTCACTATGTGTATCCATAAAGTGGCACACGTTCCAGTGCCACAGACTTGTCGGGTTAGGCAAGTTATTTCACCACTCAGAGCCCCAGCTTCATCATCTACAAAAGAGAAGGGGATTGAAGGTTTAAAATCCATTCCAATTCACAGTTGAGTCTATGAAATCATTAAGAGTATGAAAAATGATTCGAGAAATTTTCAGTTTCCCTAGATAAGAGCAGTTTATGTACTGGATAAAATATCACTCAATTCTCCTGCATGATTAAACAAGAGTTCGTGAAAGTACTCTGAAAATCATATAAGGTGTGGTAAATAGTAATTTCTGGTGTAGTCTTTCCCAAATATATCAACTTAATCTTTGATTCTTCATTTCTCCCTAAGATTGCAGTTCCCTCCTACAGTTTTGCCCAGTTTATGGATATGTTTTGGCCTCAAAAACTCAGTGAGAGCCATTTAATTTACCTTTCCTCTTTAATTCCTACTCTAGTAAGAGATTAAACCAGGGACTAGGCTCAGATCTCAAACTAAACCCTTGCTGCTGTTTCAGCCAGTTTCTTTAAGACTCACCGAAGTTAGAAATCGGTACGTGTTGCCTGGCGGGTTACGTGCAAGGTGCCACATCTAGCTTAGGACCCAGGTTTTTGGCAAACCCTGGAAGATATGAATGCCCACCCTCGGTAAAAGAAGGGCAGATCCAGCCGTCCTTTCCTCCCACCCCAGAGCTTCGCCTGGGAAAAGCGACAGCTTCAGAAGTCATAGACTCAATAACCTAAGTCTCTTGTCCAGCAAGGTTCATATTTTCCCTATAAATTCAAAGTCCCGACACTTGCAGGTCAATCTGGGCAAAATTATCACTATAATTACTCTTGTTAAATTCAGGAATCAGGACACTAATTGTCGAGTTTTACGCAAAATGACGAATGCGAACATTATCAGGACCGTGGGAACGGCAGCCAATCAGCTAGCTCCAGCAGCAACGGCCCACAAGTCGCGGGTCCCCTACCCGGGGCGGGCGGGGCAAGCGGTTCTCGGGATTGGGTCTGCGTCAGCGTCCGCGCGCGCGCCTCCTCGCGCCGTTGAGGTGTCATCCAACCAATCAGGCTTCAGCAGAGCGTGCTGCTCCGCCTAGTGCAGCCTGGATCTCTGCAGAAGCGCATGCGCGGGGCGGGGCTCGCCCTTTTGAATCCGGGAGGCGGCGTTGGGATTCCGGAGGCTTTGCGACTGAGGAGTGTGTTAGGTGAGGTACTTTTACTTTTAAGACCGCGCAGAATGGGGGCTCTCAGAGCGGAGGGAATCTCCAGATTTCTGAGCAGGATTCTCCTGCAAGGTGTGGCTGGGGTCGGGTTTTTCCCCAGCTTAGGAATCTGTCCAGTGGGTCGGTGGTCGTGGCCGAGTTCGCTCTCTGCTGTGGCAGTCTGAGGGGCTGGCTTCCTGAGAAGCGATGGGACGGTTCAACTGGATGGGGTTAGAATCTGCTCTCCCGCGCTGCTTTTTTAGGACCCTAGGAAACTACTCAGAACTCGGAACCTCCCAGTGGGTTAGATAGACGTACCGCTTTCCTGCTCTGGCCTCATATGTTCTTAGGGAGGTGGGGTCGAGTAACGGTCATTCCAACGATTTCCTTAGTTTTTCCCATTTGAAGCCAAAACTTAAAAGTCTTTCTGGGTTCCTCTCTTTCCTTTTCCCTGCATCCAGTTCTTTTATCACGGCCTTGCCCAGTCTGTCTCCAAAACATATCAGTCATTTCCTACCTCTTCCACCGCTATCTTAGGCCTAGGTTCAGACTACAGTCATATTTCTTCTGGACTCGTGAAGGCTTTTTTAAAAATTCGCCTGTTTTCACTCCTTGACCCCTCACATTCTGTTCACACTGCAGCTAAAACGGTCTTAAAACAAATCAGATGGTATCACTCCCCTCTCTCACATTCCTTCCCACCTTACCCCCATAAGTTTCACGAGAGCAGAGACCTTGACTGTTTTATTTTATCCCTAGTAAGTAGAACTGTGCTTTGCATATAGATGATGTTCAACAATTATTTACTGAATAAATGAATTACTTAATAGGGAACGATTCTGTTGTGAGAATCCTTAGTTTGGTCACCAGTTTGACTTTTGAACTATGCCATTTTAACTTAGCACTCACCAAGTGGAGAGCATAAAAGATTAAAAGCAAAATCAAGGCGGGGGGTGGAGAAAAATAGTGGAAAAAGTAAGACTGAATGTAGGAGATGGATTAGTTTTGGATTTGATTATGTGATAGAGCCATTTTAAGAGAACTTGCTATGTTGCTTGTACTCAGTTTTTTCCCCACAAGAAGTCCAGTTCAACTGGTGAATGTTACCCTGGAGAGTTGTTTCTCCCTATTCCTGTTTAAGTCAAGGGCTTCTGTGAAAGTTAACCTTTTTGTTTCCTGAATCATTGTCAGGATTTGTGTGTGTGTGTACTGTTTGTACACTAGGTATTGTGTACTAAATGTTGGGAATACAAAGCCGATATGGTTCCTGTCTTTGTGGAGTAAAAAGGGATGGTTTGTTTAATGGTAACTTGACACTTGTTTCTGTGTAGAACATGTGCAATAATGTCATCTCAAAAGAGAGTGAAGGACTCTCAGGCTCAAAAGAGGACTTCACAAGTTAGTGATACTTATGAGACTAATCTGGCTGGGGAAGAAAAAGAGGACCTGAATGACTCAAAGCGCAGCTTGAAACATGGACAAGACAATACAGCGGACGATTGTGGACATGCTGATGATCAAGGAGAAGATGCTCTGCAAATAGCAGTGAGATACTTTGAGAAAGGTAAGACAGATAATTTTCCTTATGAAAGTTCTATTTCTGTAAAAATGTCCTAGACTTTTTCTTACGGATTTTTAAAGGAAAGCATATTTTTGCTCATTCATGCTTTTGTTTATTTGATAGGCATTTATTGAGCGCTTCCTAATATCAGTATGCTGTTACACATTGCGGTTATCTGTGAATCTTTAAAAATCCTGATGCTTGGCATCCACTCTAAGACATTCTGATTTTATTGGCATGGAATGCAGGCTGGGCATCAGGATTTTTAAAAGGCTCCTCTGGGTGATTCCGATTTGCAGCAGAGTTTGGGAACTGTCCTAGTATTGAATCTGCTTATAGTCTAAGTTCAGTGCTTTTAGTTAGTTTAGAGCAGAGATGCCAGGGCATGATTCAGTCCTCACTGAAGGTGCTGTTGCTCTATTGCTGTTAAATATTCTAGAATTTTAAAGGCTTTGAAAGGTTTGGGGGAAGACATTTTTAACATAGAGCTATTTGTTTAGGAGCACCTGGGCTCAGTTGGTTAAACATCTGGCTCTCGATCTCAGCACAGGTCTTGATCTCAGGGTTGTGAGTTCAAGCTCCATGGTGGGCGTGGAGCCTACTTTAAAAAACAAACAAACAAACGCTATTTCAAGTATCCCAAGTTGTAACTGTTGGGGTTGAGGACTGAAAGAATTTTAAAGGTCCCACTATTTAATATTGTTCCTTTTTCAGGTCCCATTAAAACTTCACAGAGTAAAGATAAAGTCTTGGAAAAACACTTGAAAACTGTGGAAAATGTGGCTTGGAAGAATGGGTTAGCTCCAGAAGGAATTGACATTCTATTAAATGTGGCACTCAGTGGCAAATTTGGTATGTTAAGGGGATACATTTGTTATCAGTTTGCTATTAGTTTTGCCTTCCAGACTTTGAAATAGATTGTTTATTGGAATCAGTTGCAGTTCTTTATTTGTACTATTTTCTTCATAAAACCAATCTGGTAAGATGATAAAATGGGCCTTTCTTATGTTTAAGCTACCTTATGAACCAAAAGTTTCTATGTACATATGCTGAGAATGGTTAGTTATTACATGTCTTTACAAATAGAATGTATAGGCTCTTGTCACCAAATACATGGGAGTCATTTCTAGTATTTCTCTTAAGAAGCATAGATAACGCAGCTTAAGAGATCATTTAGTCTACTTCATTGCTTTTAGGTTCACTTACCTATGGTAAATTCCTTTTGAAACTGTCTTCATTCCAGTGTGTATGACAGTCAAGATGCTTTTTCTTTTGAGAAAATGCTTCCTTTCCTGTTCTAAGTGCATTTCAAATGGAGGGGGAGAGGTTCTTGGAAGGAAGGAACACCTGGCCAGTATTCTTTTTTTTTTTTTTTTTTTTTTTTGGCCAGTATTCTTTTTGCTTGAGAAGAATCTTTTAACCTACTCTCACCCAAATTCAGACTCAGAAGATATTTTAGGCCTTGAACATCCTCATTTTAAAGGCGAGGAAACTGAGACCCAGAGTGGTTAAAGAAACTTATTTAATGTCAGAGCTAGAACTGGGGAACTCAGATCTCCTAACTCCCCTTGTAGTGTTTATACTGTACCATACTGCTACTGGGTTTTCTACTGTTTTTTTTTTTTTTGGAAATATTAAGACATCTATCAAAACTAGATGCTTTATATACTATTTCCTGGCCCTTGCATATTGGATTCCTTTGTGTATGCCCTACCATCATGTTTTGCAGGGGTGTGTG